TGATTCTCAGGACAGAGACCACATAATGTACAATGTTCCGGGTCCTTTGAGATCTTGGACAAATTACGTTGTCTTTTAAGTTGACTGTATTATTCACTGTCAAGTTCTGTGACAGCTGAGTCATAAGCCCTAATAAGCTTAACTAAAACTAGTACTGGTGTATGAGGATACGATAGGGCTCCCTGGTGTTTGTGTTCGATGAGCTTTTATAATTACCGCCAAAATCCAGTGCATGCAGTCTGTCTACCATGTTTCGTTTCTCTCTTTCCGTCTTTGTGTTGCACACACAGGAACAAATATCTTGGGTGAACACTGATAATAGAGCAAATCTTGGAAAAACAGACGTAGACAAATATCTTTTTACAAGGCTGCTCTCAAGGTGTCATTCGCTTTTTTTTGGCTCTTCACCACTTTTCATTTCTTTTTTGAACTTTGGTAGTTTGAAGTTCGAGATAATCCATTATATTAAAATGGGAGGAAACTGGATGTTTCCACAAAGAGTAATACATATATAGCAGGTGTCTACGTGTGTGTGTGTGTCTATATGTAGACACAAGCCCTTCAAAAATGTCCCCACAAGGAGTGAAAACCGTGAAAAATAGATCTTGGGGGAATTCCTCAACAAAGAGATGTGTGAAAGCACAGCCACATTATCACTGAGAACAACCACACTGACACACAGCTTGATGTTTTTCTTAAACTCAGATATGTTCCTCTTGAGTTTTTAAACATGACACCGTCATTTAACTTGCTACCGCGTCATGTGTCTCCCGAATAGCACAGCGAACAGCTTCACCTTCCCCTCGCAAAGTCCCATCGAAGCCAGCAACACCTTCGTTCTCTTTTAATTACCACTAACACTGGGACGTTGATTAAAAAAAAGAAAAAAGAACCAATGGGGACGAAAGGTTGTCCATCTGCCTTTTCTTAGCTGGGGGTGGCAATTAAAATCAGCACATGCTGTAGTGCGAGAGTCAACAGGGCAAGAAGGCAATTAGGGGGAGGAGAAGATTACAAGGAGGAAACTCGTCCATCAGTAAGAGACGCGGACTGCTTGTACTAATGTCTCAAAGACCTTTCAACTGTGTACGATGCTTGATAGACAAGCAAATAAGAAATAGTTACAGATCTTACTTGGATGAATCTTCAGTAGAGTCTTGCTATGTAAGCACATGGTAAATTAAGGTTTTAAGCTTGAATTCACATTAAGGACATTTTAAATGCATTTATTGCATACCTTGTCTTTTATTCATTCTTTTCAAGGGGGTCATATTTTTTTGATGGCTAACAGAAAATGCATCTTGAAAGATCTCATGGTCCACGGGCATGAAGCTTTAAAAAACATCTCTGAAGATCCCTTCGGAGTTGCAGAGGTTCTTGAAGGTCTTGATATTAAAGCACTCTTGAAAAGCTCTTCTGTTTTTAGGTTGTCCAAGTTTGCACTCAAGAAAAAGATGAGCCAACACAGAAAACATTAAACACTGTTCAGTTTGATGAGGGAAAAAAAAAAACCTACGTTGTGTTAGATGTCAGTTTGATGCCATTTAACTATCTGATATAGAAAACAGTACTTTTGACAGTTTAGTCATAGGGAAGATCCAAGTAATTGCATTGTTGAAGTTCTTAACTGCGTAGCTGATACAACATACTAGTCTTGAGATATATGGATCTGGAAAAGTATAATTATCAGCTGGAAAACACACTGACTTCACATGCTGCTGGGAGGCTAGACGGGTCTTTGGCTTTTAATGCTGCATATGACTGCCATGCCATACTAATAGAGGGGAAGATGAAAATATTGTATCGCTAAACTTGCAAATTCTCCCATCCCGCACTGTCCCAATTCTTTGCACGCCTTTATGATTTCGTGTAGCAGTGATGAATTAGAATGATTGTTTTTCGACAGAGAGACTCTGGCTTTGTAGAGGGGAACACCTAGTCCTGGCTATTTGTGGATTAAAATACACGAGATGGGCCTGTTTAATCTCACGGGAGATTTGGGATTTTAACGGTGAGAAGATGGTAGGAAGTCCCCCCTAAATTGATGCCACTAATCCATGCGTTGTTTCATCTCCCGACTGATTTGAAGAGCAATGGCACTTTGTGCTGTAATGAGCAATGGATCGTACACCATTACTGAGCACAGGAGAGCTCCCAAAAGTCCAGCATGACCGTGTCCAAACCGCCTGACCTGAACAGCAATCAGCTGTTGTGGATATTAAACGCCTCGCGCTCATTTTACGCCATCATGGGCTCATAATTATCTTGTTATTTTCATCTTAAGCTTCGGCAAATTGTGGGTTATGGAACGGGAGTGGGGGGGGGGGGATTTGCGCCCTTTCCTCATTTGACTTTCCAGTTGTTGCCTGGATAAGGCCTCGAGTTGGTTGTTGTTGCACAGAACTTCTGGCAAGATAGTGCCTAAGGTACTCGACTTATGTCCATCATAGTTCATATTTAAATCCTAGGATGGAATTCCTATTGTACCCTTAGTTAAGGTGCTCACTAAACAAGGTACATATTAAGCAGCGGCAAATATTTATCGTGTTTTTGTGTACACATCTGCAATATTCCAGAATCTAATATGTATCGAAATGCCTGTTTTCTTTAGAAAACAAGCAAAGCAATTGTAAGCAATCAAAGCAGCCGAATACAACCGAAATTCATCCTGAAAAAGCACTAATTAGGCTCTCTGATTGAGTCCATTTTTAAACTGCCTGCTCCCTCCCGTCCACAGCGAGCAGATTGGCCTGAGCCTGCTCATGGCAGCATCTGTACTCGATGAAGTTAAACACGGAAACGGGCATCGTTAAAAGGTCCCTAATTAAAATGCGAGTTTCAGGCGGCTGAAGTTGGGTTCTTGCAGGGGGGGGTGGGCAGAAAGCTTACCCCCTGCATCCTCGGCACGGAGCTGCCAGCGCTCTCTCCAGGTGCCGGCTTCTGCTTTCGCTTCCACACACGTGACACTCGGGCCTCGCTGGCCAATTCTCCAAGGGACGCCTATGCGTGCAGCAACTGCGCAATTTTCGCAATGGTCAGACGTATCACCTATTTTAGGTGGGCTGCTGTGAAGCAATTTTAATACGCTCTGCCAAAAATCTCTGCAAGAGCGATAATGGGCTGTCTAAAGGCAGATGGGACTGTAGAGAGATTTGCATGACGGGATATGTAATCCCCTCACGTTGGTTTAAAGGCTCTATCAGTATTTTTCTGCAATGCAGATGGAAATCAGTTAACTTTTTCATCATCATTTGATTAAATGTTGACTAATAAAAGCAGGGCTAATTTTGTCTCACATGCGACGGCTTTAATTTTTTTAATTATTGTGATTTAATTCCTCAGCTGGCACTTTTAACAAAGCTTAACATTTTTAATCGACACTATCTTTACTGCTTTGTTCAAGGGTACAACAGCTAGTCCACATTCCTCTGTTCTTAATGACCTTGCTGCTTGCTGCCCTATTTAGACTTACAATTTATTTCACAAGGTTATTGAACTCAGTGTACATTCCTGGAATATTGCCTATATTGTGCATTGCTTTCTATTTTTATTATGTGGTAGGTGAAGGGTGATGTGTTTCAGTGATCTCTCCTTCTATGTCTTAGTAATGCGTCTTCTTAGTGTGTTTCTGTGGTGTCCAAAGAAATAGCCTGCAATGTAAGGTAGTAATCTGCCTCATATTTGAGTTGGGGATAAATGGAGTGTTCTTATTGGTGGGAAATTAAATGGGATCTCCCATTGGTTAGCGGGTATTTGGTTTATTTTAGAGGGAGGAGGGCAGAATCTGATGGAGCATGATATGATAAGGTATTCCAGTTGTTTCAAACTATAAGTATACCATTATTTGCTCAAAATCTTTCTGCATCTCCTAGCTTATTATTTTACAGTCATATTTATTCCCGAACATGGGGATTGGGTTTTCTTGTTGTGTCTGGTTGATGAGTCTCAGCGGTTTGTCTCCTCATTGTGTCTCTGTGACGGGTCTCCTCAGTGTGTCTCTGTGACGGGTCTCCTCGGTGTGTCTCTGTGACGGGTCTCCTCGGTGTGTCTCTGAGACGGGTCTCCTCGGTGTGTCTCTGTGACGGGTCTCCTCATTGTGTCCCTGTGACGGGTCTCCTCATTGTGTCCCTGTGACGGGTCTCCTCTATGTGTCTCTATGATGGCTCTCCTCAGTGTGTCTCAGCAGAACTTCCTCCCCGGTTAGTTTCCATGCACGTTCTCTCACACTCTCCTGGGCTCAGCGACAGCCTCTGTGCGCGTTAAGGCCCCTGTGGACGTGCGATGAATGAGCCCTGCGGAGAGCCGCTAGCGTGCCGAAACACGCTCCGGTGCCAGGTGCTTGGTGCCAGAGCTGACATTTCAGCACGAGCCTGTGTTTCAGCCGAGTGCCCCCCTCACACCCACCCCCCCTGCTGTCATGCTGAAGAATGGCACTCTTCATGTCCGTTCATATTTCTGGGCCCTGGTGAATATACAGGCGCTCCTCTACTTACGAACTTTCAACTTATGAACTTTCAGACATACGAACAAAGAGGACTGCAAGTCCAAATTGTGTTTCCTGTCCGAAACTTTTTTTTTTCTATGCGCCAATCCCGCCTAGTACGACATCTGGCCACTACAGCGTGCGTACTCCCAGCATCCCAGTTTTTTGTACTTGCGTATACTCTTAAAATGATGTTGAATAACGACTTACGAACATTTCAAGTTACGAATGGCCATTCGGAACGTAACTCATTCGTAAGTAGAGGAGTGTCTGTATTATTATTTTCTTTAATCAATTGTTAGTTTTGATTTTAATTGTATTTACCCCACATGTCCATGATAAAGGTTGTATAAAGTAAAAATGTATTTAAACAAATCTACTTGAATCAGAGACATAGAAGTTTTGTGTTACCTAGATAGGATGTGAAGACGCCACTGGGTTATGGGCACAGTGATCACGTTGCCAGTTATCTACTGCTATGCTGAGACTTCATTGCAGGCTCCATTTTCTCTTTCAGCTCTCCTTTGCAGCAACAACCCCTGTCCTGGCAGACAAGAAGAAGTACCCCAACTTCTTCCGGACCGTCCCGTCGGACAACGCCGTCAACCCAGCCGTGGTGAAGTTCCTTAACTACTACAACTGGAGTCGGGTGGGGACTCTGACACAGGATGTGCAGAGGTTTTCTGAGGTGAGTCTCCTCCTCACCTGCCGATCCCCTCATTGACGGAGATTCGTTGAGGGGCCAGGCAAAAGGGCCATGAATCAGGGTTAAGTTGCCCTAAACCTGTTCCACCTTAGAAGAAAGGCCTTTAAATTGCAGAGGCATGTCTGTTTAGCTGCTGACGCTCAGTCGGAAAGACAGGCTAATAAGCGGCTTATGAAAGGAACGTGGAACTCCAATTGCTAAGCTCACGTATGAAATATGTATGAAAACCCAGCAGAGACTGACGTAGATTCCCTGAAGTGGCACTGGACTGCGAGGAGGCTGGTCAGAGTGCATCGAAGCACCGGCCATCGGTAATACAGGTGACTTCTGTGCTCAGCTGCTGGTGGTCAGGACCCTCTCAACCTCAGGGCAACCCCATCAAATGGCTGAACCTCCCTGGTGTTATTGATAAAGCAGTCTCTGCTCTGGTCTCTCTGCCATTTGGCATCAAGGTGTACAGTGCAATTATTGCACCTATAATATCCATATACAATACCAGTCAGAAGTTTGGACACGCCGAACCACCTGCAAAGGATAGTGACAGTGCTGCATCACATGACCTGGCTACCTGACGTAAACACTTTAGAAATGGTTTTGGAGGTGTTTGACCAGGGAGTGAAAGAAAAATGGCCAATGAGTGGTCAATATATATACGTGGGACCTCCTTCAGGAGCATCCCAGGAGATCACCTCATGAAAATGTCACATAGGAGACAGTAGGGTCAGCCTACCCTGGAGCAATTGGGGTTAAGGGCTTTGTTCAAGGGCCCAAAGGTGGGATCACTCTGCCTGCCATGGGATCTGAACTGGCAACTGCCAAATAAATGATTTTTTTTGTTTAGTAGCTTTTTTGTCTAGTGCATAATTCCATATATTCTACTTCACAGTTTTGATGTCTTTACAGTTATTTTAAAATATGGCATAGTACAAATAAACCTATCTATGAGTAGGCGTGTCCAAACTTTTGATGGGTACCGTATATTTTATTCATGTATATTTTAATTTTAATTATGCTGTGAAACATGATCAGTGAGGATTGAGACCTGCTGGTCAGCTATTGCTACTTTGGCAGATGTGCTGATTTGTAGATGTCATCTTGCGGGAAACGATCATGCATCATGGATTGCAGGATGTGAAGAGTAGATGACAGAGATCCAAAACTGTGCTGGGTCTTTCCTCCTCCGAAAAGGCATTTAGCTGTGGGGTACCGGGGCATGTGGCACGGCAAACTGGTTTTCTTTTCTGCTACATTGGAGCAAAGCCTGCTGGGAAGGCCGCCGCTCAATTGGACGTGTCGTCGCTGCACATGTGCACTGAATGTGAGGCGGAACGGGGTACAAATGCAACCCCTTTCAGGGAACCGTCACCGGGCGTGCATGAGTGGGTAATTGAAATTCAAAGGCAGGCAGGGGGGCGATCCTGTATTCATGACATACTTTTCAGGATATATTAGTTTAAAAACTAACCATGTTTAACGTGGTGGTTCCAAGGGCAGACCCACAGGGGCGGCCCTGAAATACAGCAAAAGATCACCCCCTCCAGGGAGGGAGAGTAAATAACAGCCGTTGCCAGATTGTCATTCTGTTTGTATGCAGAAGAACGTACCAAACCTGTCCTGGGCAGGGGTCTATCTGTATTCCGCAAAGACTTTCCAAGTCTCTGGGAAAACAAGCCCGAGGCTGGCTCCAGATATGTCCACTGAGCCCAGGGTCTCCCCATGTGTACTTAACAGGGGGAGGGATTAAAAACAGGGTGATAAACATGCTTGTGACGTATTAATGGGCCCTGCATGAACAGGAGGACCTAGGCCAGGCCGTCACGCAGAAAGAGCGGTTTGGCCACGGATCACGCTCCCGATGAGATCCTGCACGTTGGTTTGCTGCCGCTCTGGCCCAAACATGCTGAGCTACTCATGCGCCAGGGCTATTTATAACTGCGCTCCGCAGATCAACGTTCAGGTGGCGTATCGGCAATCAAGGTTCATAGAAAGCGGGAACGCGACGATGAAGACGTGGGGCGAGGCACGAGGGGCCGGGAGGCTTGGCGATACACCAATGCGACGGACAACATCTGCTCCTCTAAATATATATCTTATATATCGAGCCTCGACCCCTGGAAGGACTTGGGGGAGGAGGGAGCTTGACGGCACACACAGATATCCCACTAAACACGAGCTGTGCTCCCTCTGTGCTAATAGCTGCGTCTGGCATGGCCGTCACGTAGGCCATAGCCCTGGTGTTTGTGGCGGCACGGGTGGGACCGCACGCCGGCATTCGTGTGCGTCAGCCTGCGATCCGCTGGATGCTGTCTGCATTCCAGCGCAGCTGCTCATCACGGGATTACATCACTCCAGCTAAAAAAGGATCATTATTTGTAATGCTAATTTAGCCAAATCAGGGAATTTATTTGTAAGCACCTCGATGTATCTGTGTTGAGAATTGAGGTGTTTTTTTATTTGCTCTGAGGTCAGATGATTATTGTGACGTATAAAATCAATCCACATCATCGATTAGCAAAGGCATTTCGGCTGAAACTGAAGGGCTTTTCGTAAATGAGGCAAATTAGCATAATTCGTCTTATTGTTCTGGCTGAAATAGTCACGTCGCGTGAGGCTATCGGTGTTTGCCGTTGGGCGCCGCGTGCTTCCCCGCTGCGGTCTGTCGGTCGCTGACGGGGCTGTGCAGTTTGGCGCGGCGGGGAAGCCTCAGTCACAGGTGGCGTTTGGACACCTCCCCTGCCTGGCCCCGCGGTGCCTGCGGCAACACCGTCGTCCGACGGAGGCCGCTGGGCAGATGGCGTGGAGTTTGATGCCCACACCTCGCGGGTGCGCGCTAAGACTGCCGCTGTGCCTCCTGCAGCCTCCCCTCCGTGCGGCTGCACGGGTGCGTAACAGAGATTCCTCTGGATGACCGGAGGCTGGGCGATAACGATGGAGTAGGTCGGAGCTGGCGGAAGGAGGCATTGTGTGACTAAGAACCTCCCTGCCATACTTTATTTTCATGCTTTTTTTTATATAAGAAACACTCAATGCAAATCGGCTCTTAAAATAACCAGCTTTAAGACTTTAAAGTCGTGCGCTATTGTGCCTGAGAGTCTGGAGCGTCCCCCTTTGTACAATATGTTTCCATTATGACTAACGGTCTCACATGCCGGCTTCAAAGCGTTAAACCTGTCGGTTATTTCGGAGTGCATGCATTTAGGACGAACTGCACCTGTACCAGTCTGCCATGTCATGAAGAGCTCCCTGATGCACGCAGGTGAAATACAGCACTCTGGGACAGCGTTCCCCAAATGATTCCCTATCTTTGTCATAAATAGCCTTTCACGAATAAGAAATGCGAGATGCATTTATGCATGCGGTATGCGGCGTGAAGCAACGGGCCCTCGATGACTCATCTCCCTGCCAGGGATGCGGGTAGTGAATTGGGTCGGCGGTCTGTGTTTGGGCCGTGCAGGTTTTCCCTGTGGTCTTCCTCTCTTACACCTCTTTCCAAAGTGCTGCCGTCCAGATGAATATCCACTGTCTAATGTACCTTCAGCGCGAGCCCGAACGCTGGCGAGTCTCGGCCTCCCGCCCTGTAACCTGGATACGCCCCACGCATCCCAGAATTGCCTGTGGCTCGCAGGGACCCTAATTGGATGAAGGGTTATTGAAAATGGATGGTTATTCAGCACTGGAGTGATGTCATTAGCACTGCACCTGGAGAAGCCAACGCCACTGGCTCTATGTGTGTGGTCCACTTCATTAAACGCCATGCTAATGAGTGATGGCAGTGTTCCTTTAGGTAGCGCCGAACTTTCTCCTTCTTATATGACTTTAATAACTGCAGATTGGAAGGAAAGAGTGCGTATCAGTGGCTCAGGGGGCAACTTCATGCATCTAGGGACATGGGTTCGATCTCTGGCTCTGTGTGCGTGGACTTGCTCTTTCCATACATGCTTGATTTTAAAAACGTGCAGTTCGATAAGCCGGTGGCCCTAAGTTACGCGTGACGGCAGTGTGTGCCCTCTGATAGACTGGCATCCACACCAGAAGGTCGCCTGCTAGCCATTTGCTCTGGTACAAGGTGTTTATGGAAGATGCATGGATACTGGGCAGGACAACACTGTCATTTTCACTTGCTAATTGACAAGACTCCAGAGTCCAAACCAGATCGATATGATTTTGCACTGCATGGCTGAGTGCCAAAAATAGGAAAAGGGGACTGAGATGTATGCATCTGTAAATCATCCTCTAATGGCAATTTTTTTTCGAAATGCGCTCCCCAAAGTCTACATTCTGTGCGTACAGATGCGGAAATCTGACGTACTACAGCATCACTAATGTGAAATCTAAATTAAATACATGTTCTGGCTCTTGCTGGCTTTTTCTTTTGGGATTTTCTTGAACTTTTGCCCTTAAAATAAATTTGCATAGCATTATATTTAGCCAGTCACATTCCCAGTTTTCATATAAAGGGATTTTTTGGGATCTAACTACATTGCAGTTGGACACTATCAGGTCTTTTTCCTCGAAGTCTCCATCAGTATGCGGATTAAGGTCTGTTTTGGGTCCTGCTGTGGCTCGCCGCCTTGCGGATTATTCTAGAATCCTGATTTCAACATTAAAGATTCGACAGACAGTCCTGATGATCTGAATCTGTCTGTTCAGCCGGAGCTTAGAGGCGTTTCATATGTGGTTCGTGAGGGCCCGCCCTCTCAAGGCTTCTGATAGGTTGCAACCGTGGCAACCAGTAGTAAATGACAGGCAGGATGTCTCCGTTCAGCATCATGTGATCTCCATCAGTGTAGATGTACTCAGACTGGTTCATTCTTTTATTCATTTTAATTTAACAAGCAGACTAAACCACCTCAGGGGGCAAGAAGAAATTTGATTAGGGTGCGTTCGCTAAGGGAACTACCCCTTAGAGGAATCGAATCACAAAAAAGAATAGTTTTATCGGTTATGACCTTATGATCACATTGATCTGGTGAATTAAATGCATACTTAATATATAACAGTGTTTTACTGATGCATCATTTGCAGTCACGCAATTGCAATTTGATAATCTGATAAATATTAAGCAGTTTCATGAAAATATTTCTGCAATATGCATTTTATTAATTTACATATATTACTTATATTTTTTGCGTGATTTATTAATCTGTCCTTTGTCAAGCCCCTGGGATGTGGCTCGTCCTGTTCAGCCTCTCTTGCCGTGAGCTCATTTGCGATGTCTGTCTGCATCCCGGGTGCCCGCGGTCCAGGCTTCCGAAGTGTACTGTACAAACACGCGGCTAAATCACATCCGCTGGAGTGCCAGAACACCGGTCCATCGCAAACATTTACCGTTGGGGGTTAGCATGAGAGTAGCATTGACGTCAGCGGCTGAAGCAGTGCTCCGGTGTGCGGCCTCATACAGGCATGCAAACAGAGGACCCACTCGCGTGTTTATACAGTAACCTCCGAGCATGGAAGAGGGACTGCCACATCTCCATCCACCTGATTCAGCATCATGACAAAAATGCACCTAGTTCTCGGAATCGGGCTCTCTTATCTTCCATGTTTGCTGTTCGCTCAGCCGCGGGAAATGGCCAGCGGTTTCGAAAAAGCCTCTCGCTTCTTTTCCTGCACGCGGCAGTGAAGTCCCCCCCCCCCAGTTGATCACGGCCTAAAATCCTGAGCGACCGACCTCCTGCACCCTGCTGACGATGTGGGGAAGATGTAAAGCCAGCCTCCTATCCCCGCTCCCTCTTTATCGCGGGGCATGTTTAAGCGACGCTGTGCAGAGGGGACTTAGCCTGATGTGCAAACCTGTCTATAAATAGCACGGCGTTGCAGTGCCCTGCTTTTGGGGGCTGTATAAAATGACATGTCTTTAGCTTAATGCGACCAAGACAAAGCAGGTTTTGCTTATTCCTGACTATGCCGACGACATGTGCAAAATTTACGGCAGCACGCGTGTGATTTACCCTGAGGCATGATGGGATATCCCACTCCAGGACTGAGTGATGTCGCTTGTCCTCGCAGTGTTTTTTTACTGCAGACCTCATCAGGGCTGAGGTATTGAGTTTGGGAGACCGGGACAATGGTGTGGGGGCGGTAGGGGGGGTGTTATCCAGTCAAACAGAGACTTTTTCTCCTGGAAAGCTTTCCGCGTCAGCAGGGGTGCGGTCACAAATACTCATTTAACACCCGCCTTCTCCCTATAGGACGGGGAAGAGCGCGAATGGCTGTTCTAGACGTTTCTGATGAGCATCAGTGGGTTTTATCGACCTGCCGAAACAGGCTGCCTGTGTTTGGCCTGGCAGTGGCAGAGTGCTGAGGGAGGTTTCCACACAACGCAGGGTTAGATCTCACTGCCATTCTTATAGGTGCACAGACTTCAGCAGCGTGTTACCTGCTTGACTAGCTTATCTTCACGGAAAACGGAAACGGGGGGTTTTGAGACCCTGGGGAGACATGCTCTGGGTCGTCCCTGAGGGCCCATCCTCTCTGCCGATGCCTCTTCAGCGGCTCCTTTGAAAGCGCCAAACCGGATAGGCTGAACTAGACAATGCAGATAAGGGCTGTACAACCTGTCCATCTTCTAGCTGCTTCTTAGTCAGGATCATGGGGGGGCGCGTAGAGCCTGTCCCAGGCAGCACTGGGCACATGGCTGGGGTACACCCTGAATGTGAGTCTGTTGATCTATATTAAAACAGTCATATATAAAATAATCAGAAAAAAAATGGGAAAATCATCAAAAAAAACTTGAAATAGATTGCCAGCATTACAATACGTGTATTTTTTTCTTTTTTAAATCACCCAACTTGATAGCTGTGAGTTCAGTGTGTAATATTAGTTTGAGTTCAGTTAACTGGGCAGGATATTAATACATTATATATTTCATTACATCCATCATCAGCGGGGCTGCGCTTTGCTTCGAAATCCTTTAATCCTCCTGAGCTCTTTTACTGTTCAGCACTCTGTCATCAGGCTCAGAATTCACCCAGGTTAAATCTCCTCGTTAGACTGGCCCACGCACACCTGAATGCCGGGATTCCTCCCTCCGCAGCCCGGCAGTGCGACAGCCACACAAAAACAGCAACCCAGGTAGCCATCCATCACAATGATGTGTATCGCTTTAAATCTGTCCCTCTTTACTGGAGGGTCAGAAATATCCATGAGGATTTCTTGGGACACGCCCCTTCCCCGCTCAGGCACCGTGCCACCCGAGACACGGCATCCCCTCTAAAGCGATAATATCTCCACCTGTGGTCCGGCCGGGCCGTACCACAAGTGTGACATCTGATAGGGGGAGGCCATCGTTACCCCCCTGCTCCTGGGAATCCCGGTCCCCTTAAATTAGCGGGACACACCCGGCAGCCAGGTTCCCCCTGGCTTCTGTCCAGCGCATCTAAAACGGCCTGCCACGATCTCGAGAAACCGCCACTTCATATTCCCGAAGCGGGAAGAGTATTTCGGAAGGAAGCTCGCTAAACAGGAAGGGGTTGGGTATTTAGGATCCCAGATGATTATTTTTCCTCTGCTGTGACCTGATTCTGGACCGTCAGCTGAACGCCCTCACCTTTCACCTGGATCTCTTTGTGAGAATCAAGCGTGTCTGCCAACATGACCACGGCAGGTGTTCCAGTGCTGATGATGGACCTGACGCGTGCAGGAGGCCCAGCTGAGCAGACCGTCCACTGCCAAAGCTCAAACTCAACAGGGGTCCAGACGGAATTTCCCGCTCTGAAAGGCTAATTTATTCTAAATGCATTAATTGACGATTACAAATGTTTTTCCTGCAGTCAGCGCTCCCTGCATGACGCGCTGTGGCGATGCGCGTCCGCTACATTATTCTAAAAAGCTCGCTGCGTTCGACGGTCGTTAGAAAAACATGGTCCGAAGGCATCGGATCTCCCTCGCATGCCGCTGTCATCAGGCAGCCCGTCTCTCTCTCCCTTGACAGGTGCGGAATGACCTGACCAACGAGCTGGAGAAGGCTGACATCCAGATCGCCGACACCGAGAGCTTCTCCGACGACCCCTGTGTCAATGTGAAGAAGCTGAAGGTGAGTGACCGGCCAGGGGACCCGGGGGCGGGAGGGGCGCATCGTACCGAGGGCGTAACGCTTCAATGAAGCTTCAGTCCCTCTCTGTAGACCAGCCAGCCGCTGCACCCGCATGCTTCCAGTGACACGTGATGTTAGATTAATGTGCATTATTTAAACAACAACATGAATTAAACATGTCCGTGTCCCCTAATACAGCACTGCTCCATGTTAAATGGCTTCCTCTCTCCTGCTTTCCTGGCTTCCATCTCTGTAATTGCCGTGGAGGTTCAGATACTCCATGAAAACCCACACCGGCTCACTTTGCCTTTCGTTTGTTCCTCCGTTTACCGTTCCTGCTCCCTTTTTTTTTTCCCCCCTCCCTTCATCACTTCAGCTCCGGAGCACAAATAACTCACCCCTCCTCTGATTGGCTCTCGTCGACATGGTGGCTTTAGCTGCTTCTACAACTCACCTGCCAAGCCCCCCCCCCCAACTGATGGTTTGGGAGTCATCAGGGGACGGGGGGGACTGAGGCGGGTGCCGTCATATGGCTGATGCCCTCGGGCGCTCTCTCTGGGGCAGATCTCACTTCCCAGTGACCTTCCCAGTGGCGTTTTTCCCTGGGGCAGTGACCTGCTACCCACATCGTCAGCGGCTGCCTTCCCCTCGTCGGTCGAGCGTGTTGAGAGCGGCAGATCACTGCCTGTTTGTTTACTGTTCGCCCGTCGCTGGGAGTGTCTGCTTTCCTGTAAACAGATTTTAAACATTTATGCCACTCAGCCCTTCACCGGAGGCCACAAGCTCGTTTTACGCTGTCCATGGCTCTGAGGTGCCAGCGGTGATGTCACGGGCTGTGGGGCCAATCAGAGTGCGCGCCCTTGTCGGTCTGGAAGAGCGGAGGGGCTTCAGCAAAAAACATGCTGTTTTTTGTATAACCAACCAATCATCATCATCATTTTTTTTGCGTTTAACCCTTAGATGCATACAGTACCTCTGGTCATTACATGTCACTTTACATTATTTTTTTTTTAGTATTTGATGCAGTCTTGACTCTTTTAGATATGCCTCATTCTTTTCATCCATATCAATTTACATAAAAAAGAAAGACCAAATATCGTCAACTTTCTTTTTTATGACCGTTTATTCGCAAGAAAGGTATCAGGTCACGAGCGACCTCAGGTATGTAATAGTGTTATAGATCCATTGAAAACATATATAAGATTCGGCATTATCGCTAGCTGCTAATATTAGGCTAGGCTAGGAAATATTAAGAATACATTTAATTAGTATCAAAAATGTTCAGAAACATCATGGAAGAAACATTAAATAAATGTTTGCTGAGTCATGGGCATTTGCAGCTTGATTTTATTAATTTTACATGCCAGATTGCTAAAGATCCAAGGTATGTAAAAGTGCTTGTAGAATGAGCCATGCATCGAAGGATTAATCATAAAACAATCGTATTGTGCTTCAGTGACCTTACAAGCTTAACGAAGTTGCAAAACCAGATTGTGTGTTTGGAAAGTGCTGAAGTTGCAGAATGGCTGCCCAGTTCTTGGGAACGAGTCCTTGACGGTGTGTAGCTACAGAGTTCACATTAACCAGAATCGACGGTCAAGGTGGCACCAGAGCTCCGGCCAGTTACTCTGCCACAAGAAGGATCGTTTCTGCTGTTAAAATCAGAGGGGTGATGCTTTCCATACATGATGAGTACATGTTTTGAATGAGGTATTGCTACAGGAGAATCCTCAGCAATGTTAACAGGTCCCATCATCTGGTGTAACCAGAACAAAGTTGGATTACACACAACACGGTTCCTTGCTTTAAGCTTCTAATTGCGTTTCAATAACAGCACCTCGTTTTTGGTGGTTCTGCCGGTGCGGGTATTGATTTTTCAGTCTCTGCGGCCGACTCTGCGAAGGACCTGTCAGGTGTCTGCGTGGGGCAACACCTGAGGCCTGGCTGCGATCGAGTCGGGGGGACAGGGTAGTGGGAACCAGGAGTGGGGGGAGGGTGCTGAGCAATGCTGGAAGCCAAGCCCAAGCAGAGGCCTTTGAAAGGGAATGGAGCATCTGGATAAAAGCCCCAGTCGTCCTGTGAAATGCCATGAATTGGAAAGCTCCGTTCATTGAAGGCCTTCTCCGGAAATGTGGGAACGCTTTGGAGGCCGTGGTGTGCAACACAAGGCCTCATTGTGTTGCATTCGGCCGGGAAGGAGGGGGTATTGGCGCACTCTGTCCACATCACCTTTATCCACACGTCACTGCGACTACAAGGAACAGGAAAGTGTGTTATGGCAGCCGCAAACAGAAGGCCACCAGTACAAACAAGCATTCACTGCGTTCTCATTCAGATGGCCGAAAACTGGATCACGGTGTAATTAAAGCAACACTAATAGACAGCTTGAAGCCATTAAAACGTTGAAGAAGATGTAACTCCATCCGAAAAATGCATTTTTCAAAATGATGAGATGATCTAGGGAGCATTTAAAAATTACAGGATGTATATTATATGGCCAGAAGTATGTGGACCCTGCTATTATTTAGAGGAATTTAAGCCGCAAGTATTGCTGACACGGCTGTATAATTGAGCACACAGCCATGCAACTTCCAGCAACACACACTGGCAGCAGGGTGGGTGGTCGGACAGTGAAGGTTATTGACTTTGGACTTGGCATATCATAGGATGCCATCATAGGGTCTTTCCAGCAAGTAACTTTGCCAAATTTCTGCCCTACTATAGCTGCCCTGGTCAATCACAAGTGAACTGACTTGTGAAATAGAAACGTCTGGGAACAAGATCAACTGCAGAGTGGTAGGTCACACAAGCTCACAGAGAAGGAGCTTATCGCCCTACATCAATACCTAACCAGAATGGCAGTAAATCCCACCACCAACATCTAACAGAAAGCCATGCCAGAAGAGTAGAGGCTATCATGACAACAAAAGAGAGAAACACTTCATATTAATACCCTTGGTTCTGGCATGAGATGTTGGACAAGCTGGTGTCCACCTGCTTTTGGCCATCTATGGAATATAGCTGTCTTTTCTACGGGACCTCAGCTCTCCAAAAAGTATAAGGAGAAACCCAGTTGATGGCAAAGACTGTCTATCTACATGTCATCCCATTTAACATGCACAGAACACCACTCTGATAACAAGATTGAGTACACATTTTCCTTCTTGTACAAGATAAGCAACACTCAGAGCTTGTAACTTCTGAGAAATGATTTTTAGTGTTGAATAAAGTTAAGACTGGTCTGTTTGTTATATGTCCATATCTGGATGTGCCAGCAGAGAGTCCGGAGTATGTCATGTTGGTGAAAGTATGTTTCTAACTGCAGACTATTGTGAATTCTTGCTTCGGTTTTAACAAAAGGTACAAATTAATGAAATGGCAGTTAAATTCTTCCCCCATTCTTTGTGTGCCCTGGTGTGTCTTGCAGTAATTTAAATAAAAAGTTAATTGTTCCTAAGACGCGGCCTGAAGGAGACCTATGGTGTCTGCAGCACTCAGTCCATTCTTTTTCCCCTCCGGAGGTTCTGTAGTTCATGCCTCCAGGAACCATTTGCAATGGTGACATTTAACATCTCCGTCAGAACCGCCTTCCACTGACCTTGGAGGAGGTCGCTATGTCAGCTACCTCATCTTGAATGGTGATGTCAATCATCCTGGTTTTTTATTGTCCTCTGCAGGACAACGATGTGAGGATCATCATCGGGCAGTTTGACGACAAATTGGCTTCCAAAGTCTTCTGCTGCGTGAGTACAACCTCAGATGCCGTTACCTGTGTGACTGTCTGGTGGACTGAAGCTTGGGCTCTACAGGGCAAGAGCCCTACTGCTGTGGATATAGGTGAAGTGGCCCCCGGGAGGATTTGCATGCGGGAGAGGGGGAACATCACTTCAGCGTGGCTCTAATGATCAGTGGTGACACTACGGGTTCCGTTTGGGAAAGTTGACATTATCGGGGAATACTGAAGCCATTCAGTGTCATGACAAAACAACAGGGAATTGTGGCCTGAGATAGTTGCCTGCTGGAATCATGACATCTCCTCCAGAGCCATGGTAGAAACAGGAGGTACCTCAGTGCATTTGGCTGGATGTATCTGTGCAAGGATTCCTTATCCCTACAAGTCAAAAACTGCTACCCCACAAAAGCCGAATGAGAGCACTTTCTGGCAGCATAAAACTATGTGTCAGAAACTGCTACCCACCAAAAACCTATAGGGAGCCCTATCACAAAAATGGGAGCCCTTTGACACTTTGGCTAGAGCCACATCTTACTAACCCTGTAGCCCACCTGCTCTGGTCCCCTCTCACTAATTTTAAGTTTCCCGTGTGGAAAGTGTGACATTTACCACCATCTGCGTGAGGATTGTAATTAAAATAATTTTACAAGCCAACGGTAAGGTAGAGCCACTTCGCTACGCTTCCATGCCTTGGGATTTTTGAGACTTCTTTTAAAATAACTGTTCTGCCGTTGTGGGTCTCCTTGGCCCGTGTTCAAACCCTGCCCTGTCTAATGGGTGTCACGGTGTCACGTGGGTCCCCGGGCAGATCGCTCATTAAATCTCTACCAGTCCCCCCTCTTCCCAGGGAAGGGCAGACTATTCTGAAAAGGCCCTTTTAAATAACATTTACTGTCAAGGTAACGTTCTATAGTTTAGTGGGCTGATATGCTCCATGTTCTATAGTTTTGTGGGCTGAAATGCTCCACATACCACAGTTTAGTGGGCTGAAATCCTCCACATTCTACTGTACAGTTTAGTAGGCTGAAATGTCCCATTTTCCACAGTTTAGCAGGCTGAAATGCTCCAGATGAAAGCCATTGTTGCTTCAGTTCTGTGTGTAGCTGCTTGTTTGATATTCCTTCATGAACTGTGTTTGTCTTCTGAACAAGTCATTGTATTTCTTTGGGGTGCATTTGGGGATTTGTGTGCATTTGGTGGAACAACTTAATTCTCAGGAAAATTCATGCCATTCCCCTGTTCCTTTCCCAGGCGTACAACCTGAACATGTTCGGTAGTAAGTACCAGTGGATCATCCCTGGATGGTACCAAGGAAACTGGTGGGAACAAGCTAATTCCACCAACTGCACGACCAAGAAGCTGCTGACCGCCATGGAGGGCTACATCAGTGTGGACTTCGAGCCCCTCAGTGCTAAGCAAATTCAGGGGATCTCTGGAAGGGTAGGCCATTTTTTGAGTTCATTAGCCACACTCTATCAAATCCTGCTGCCTCTTTGAATGACTTCCTGTGCCCCCCCCCCCTTGTGTTTAGACCCCAGAAGAGTATGAGAGGGAGTACAACATTCGACGGCTGCAGAAGGGAGTGGAGTCCAGCAAATTCCACGGATTTGCTTACGACGGCATTTGGGTCATAGCGAAGACCTTGACTCGCGTCATGGAGAGACTGAGAGAGAAGGAGCAAAGGAACATTTACCAGAACTTTACGATCGATGACAAGGAAGTGGGCAGGATGGTGCTGGATGTCATGAACGAGACCAACTTCTTTGGTGTAACGGTGAGTACGCTGGCTCAACAGTAATATTGTAAAAAATATTGCAATATTATACATTCTCTGCAGTTTTTTTTGGAAAAGATGCAGTATCAGCAATAAATGAATTTCAAAGGGTCTTTATTGTATCCTATGAGTGACAGGTTGGGTGCAGGGAGCCTCAGTGTGGTTTTGGTCTCTTTGGTCTCTTTGTCTTGGTGATGTCTTGTACCGTTTATAGAGAGAATGCAATTGCACCTAATTATTATTATGTACCCTGTATTGTAGTGCCTGGAAAATATACTTGAGTAGAACTGTAAAAAAAATCAAGTGTCCATTTGGTTAATGGGGCTAATTTTTCCATCCCAATGGCAGACTAAACAGTCTTCAAACTTACCCCTATGAAGAGCCTTGTAACGTTTTTTTTTCTTTGACCTGATTCACAAACCCTGATTAAGAATCATCTTCTACAGACTAACTTGTCTTCTAACGGCAGCAAAGATCGCAAGGGACAGGTTAAATGTCGCTATGCTGCTGATTCATATTAAATAGTCAAAAATAGTCAAGACCTTTTCATAATGCCACTTAAAGAGGAATTTATGGACTTGGATGACACTGGAAAATGTTAGAGGCTGGTTACACAACGCGAAAAGGAACACCTCTGTTTATGAGGCGTGAAGCCTTGGCCTTTTCCTCCAGGAAGTGGAAAGATGTTACGAAACAGCTTCGGCGTCTGCGATGCGAATATCACGGTAGCACGTGACTTGCTGCTCATTTTGAATGCAAATTGGGGCCTTATTGCAGCCGCCAGAGCCTGGCCTGAGGATAAGCCGCTGGCTTGGGATGCTGATTGAGACCTTCTCGGTGTCCTTGTAACGAAGTAGATGGGCGACCTTCAGCTGCCTCAGGCCCCCCCCGCTGTCACACCTAGGGGCAGCCTGAGCTGCTGTGAGGCAACCTGTTAGTCATCGAGCTGCCATGCCTGACCTTTCAAACCATGGTGTCCCCCTCCCTGGTGCTGACGTGTGGGGTTGGCCTTGCCAGCTAGCTCTGGGCCTGGGGCGAGAGGGGCCTGGAGGTGCCCAACAGATCCGCCTTTCTCTTGACTTCTGCCAGTAGGGGCAGAGCCAGTTTGACCGCAGGGCAGACCACTGAACTTCAGCGAGCTTCTACCATCACGCCCAAAGGGCCGAAAAGACATCTGTGATCAGGACCGGCGTTTGGAGGGAGGGTGATCAAGAGGACCGTACTCCTCATTAGGGTGTTCGGAGAGGTGCATGTTCTCCTCTCTCATTTGCTGACTGGAGTGCCTTGCTGCATACTTCGTCCGGCGATGAAGAAAGCCAGATTTTCTGTTTCAGGATCAGAGAGTCGTTTGGTGAGCGTTTGGGAGCTCGTTGCGGGATAAAAAATGTGGGTAAGGGTTTAAATAACTGAGTGAGTGGGAGGCCCTGATATGGAGGAGCTCTGAGGCACGGCGCCTGTTCGGAAATGAAATATTTCACCGACGGAAACCTCTGCCGAAAAAGGATTTACTCACACTGCCAGGCCAAGGAATGGTGGGCCGTAAATATTGAAATAAATATTATGCCCTGAGTACATTTTAAAATATTTTAGAGGCCTATGGTGGGAGAGCCATCAGCTGTTTTAACAGGGAATAAGAGAAACATCGCCTGCACGTATCTTCTACTTTAATAAATGTGCTCTGTCACACACACACATACTGTTTGCACCTGTTTTTTCCATGTAAGTATGAAATCTTTAAATGTATAGTCAAAGCCGAGTATATATTGCAGGTGGGATGAAACACAAGATGGTTTGGTGGGGAGGTTTAATTTCTTGGGGAAAGGCCTTCCTTCTCAGACTGAAAGCCGTGTCACATCCCCATGACGTGGTGTCTTCCTTCGTGGTTGGGGGGGGGGTTCATTTAGAAAGGCTGCCCCCCCCGGGTGCGACACCAATGTCCTAATCCCCCCTGGAAGTGGCCCAATTTGGCCACACATCACCGCCCCCAGCTATTGGCTTGTGTTTCATGTTGCTCTAACCCATCCCGTCTGGTTGCGGTCCCTCCCGTGGGACCCGGGGCTTCTGGCCGCCGATTTCTACTGAACAGCAGAGTAAGAAACTGAGACAATCCCCGCTGGACGGGCGAGGGGGGTGTGATTAGTCGCACGGCAGAACCCGATGCGGTCGCCAAGGCAACAGTTCCCTTGGTGGGGCCAGGGGAAGATAGCGTAGCCCCAGAGCAAGGGGGACTCTCAGGGGCGATGGCATCTCGGTTCCCCAGAGGTGCAGCGTAGTACGTGAACACTCATATCTGTCCCTGTCTACTTTACAGTGCAGCAGCTGAGTGGCCGTGCTGTAAACCCACCACCAGCCAGAGCTGTGAGTGAGCCAAATGATTCACCAATGGCGGCGGAGGCACGGGTCACATGACCAAGCAGCCGTGACGATGTACAATGTAATTGACCACATATTAGACACGGAAAACAAAAGAACAAAGAAACGTTACACAACGAGGATCGCTGCGCAGGAAGGAGCGGGGCGGGATTTTCAGACGAGATCCATTTGTGGATGTAAAGGAGAAACTTGTGAACGCTTAGCCTCGTCTTTGCTTCCTGCTTGGTTTAGGATGAGGCGCAGAAGCTGTGACCTAGTTTTGGTTAACGGGGGTATAGTGAGCTAGGGTGTAGTCTGCCTCCGCTCGTCATCACGCCACCTGCTCCGTCCTGCGTGGTGAAACGTGACACAGGGACCGACGTTAGGGTTTGCCTCCAAATCCATCAAAGTCTGTTCTGATTCGGGGAGGCAGCTTTTGCATTTATCTTTAATCTGTGCTGGAGAACTAGGAATATGAGTGTTAGCTATAGTTAAATTGTTCTAAAGGTGGTGTGGTGACTCGGTGGGTAGTGTTGTGGTCTCACACCTCCGAGGTCGAGCCCCGCCCCTGCTCTGTGTGTGTGTGTGTGTGTGTGTGCTGTTTGTATGTTCTGCTTGTGTCATGTGCGTTTCCTATTGGTTTTCCAGTTTAGTTCTACAATTCTAAGACATGCAGTTCAGCTAATCTTCATCTCTAACCTGCCGATAGAGTGTGAGTGTTTGCGTGCCCAGTGAAAGGCTGCCATCCAGACCAGGATGCCCACTACCCTGTGCCCTGTGCTGGCAGAGTTCAGCTTCTGGTGCTCCTGTGGCCCCTTCCTGGATTAGCATTTGGAAATTTGGATGGATGGATGGATGAATGTTTGCTGAAGCTATTCAGCCAAATAAGGCCTGAATTACACAGCAATATACATTACATATTTATATGAATTTAACACAGCTCATGTCAGTCACCCATTTATGTCATTTATGAGTAACGCAACTCGGTATTAGAGCTGTGAGACTTCATTGTGCAGACTGGCCACCGTACCGCAGTCTATGTACTGTGACCGGCATGCCTAATCGCATAGCCGGGGGTGGGGGGGGGCGCTCTACAGGGATCACTGAGAGGCTGATTCCCACCATGTGGACGTGAACCCCTGCCCTCTGTCCTCCTCGTCCTGCTACGCCACCTGCTGCTCGCAGTGCTTGTATTGCCTGGGGTTCGGCGCAGAAGGGAGCACATTTCCACCCCCCCCCCTCCACACGGCAGCCCCCGGGGCTGTCCTTGGACGCCAGGAGAGGGCCACCTGTGCTGTGAATTTGTTACATAATGGCTCCTCTTCCGGGCTGCCTACATTCCATGGGTATGGCTCGCGGCGCAGCTAGCAGCCGGCCACCAGGGGGCGCACCTGAGTCCATGGGGGCTGAGGGATTGAGAGGTGATGACAGGGTACCCAAGGCTGCTATAGGGTGCTCATAGTCTGGGGGGGGGGGGGTTATCTTGAAAACCAGCCGTTTCTGGCCTGAGACACTGCACAGTTCGGCCCTTCCTGAAGCTAACAGAGGCTAACCTGCTACCACCTTCCAGTTGATACTTACAAATGTAAAGATTTGATTTAATTATTTAGTTTATTATTATTTTTTTAAGGTGTGAACATGTACCTTCAGATGGATTTGGTGTCCGGTGCGTGGTGCTTCCCTGCTTTGTGTCCTATGTTGTCCTTTATAATAATTAAATCTCATCAAGTTTAATTTCATTTTATATATTTTTCACCTTTCTCCTTTAATTTTATGCAGGAAGCACATTTGCTGCTGAGGAAAGCTAAACGGAGAAGGTCATCTATCCATCATAGCGTGTTAAGCATTTTTTCAGAATTGACACAATCAATCGTCTTTGAAATGATAAACTGATCAAATCACACACCTCCGGCTTCATAATGTCTGCATTTAGATAGCGCTCCGCTTTGCTACATGGCTGAGCCTCTTTACATGTCAAAAAATGCTGAGAAAAATATATAGTGAAATTATTAATAATCTTTGTCCACTTCTTATCCCTGCAGTGACATATAATAGTTGCCTTTACAAGGATCATTGAATTTCTCACACGTTTGTCTACAATGGGCCACGCTGCTAAAAAGGGCTCTGTCTATCTTGATCAGGCCTCATCTTCTTCGCTTGAGGACACTGGAAGCTGGATTCAGAATCGCAGGATTAGTGTTTATTTCTGATTCAGAGTTCCCAGCGTAATGTTGCCTTCTTCCCTCGTTGTGCTCTCATTGGTCCAGGGCCAAGTCATGTTCCGGAACGGAGAGCGGATGGGAACGATCAAGTTCACGCAGTTCCAAGGTGAGCGCATTTAAGTGATCTTAAAACAAGTGCTGGCCCACCTGAATCTGCCAGGGTATCCATGTCCCTCTGACGGGCCTGTCTGTGCCCCTTGCCCAGCTGTGTCCCACAGAGTTGGCCCAATGCTTGTGAAAATGCTCTGTAAACCAGTTACCTTCACCTGCATTCCACCTTCAGAAGCTTTTCAGCGATGGAACAGGTCCAGCTGGAGACTGGGAACAGAGCAATACTGTGTTTCATGCATCTCGTAGTTTACTTTAATAATGTGTAGAGATTAAGCAGAAATGTGAAGCAGAGTGTATCTGAGTGTGTGTGTGAGTGTCTGGAAAAGGGATGTAACCCCTTTTGCCGTATATAATTTTGTGAGGTGCCAACCCCAGCCAGGTGACAGTATTGCATAAAGCGTCACCTGGCAACATGGACAGAAATATCGTATCAGTCGGTGGAGATTCGGAAATGCTGTGATTCTGGTGAGGGAGGATGCGGGCCGGGCTTCACAGCGACGGACTCGCCGGCTGACGTGCGACCACATCGATCAGGCCGACGGCGAGTCGCTCTGAGCACCACGCGTGACGTCCAGGTGACAGGAAGGGGGTCCCGCGGCATGACGTGCGCTAGACATGCTCCTTAGGCTTTCATCAGAGCCAGGCGGGGGTGGGGGGGATGTGCCGTCTGTCACTGGCGTCCATCAGCTTTCAGATATTTGACAATAAGTAACGCAAGCCTGGACTGAGATGTGACTGCATGCATCTGAGGTGCAGAATAGAGTGATGGTTTCGTGCTACACCTATCATGGCTTTATTTTCCTGTTCTCTGGGGTTTTATGGCTTTTTTCCCGCAAAAGATCTCGATATTGTAAGCATTAACACTGTTACGCCTGTAAATGTTGCTGTTCTTTGTTGAGGCTTTCTCTTTGTTAAGAGCTTTTGGGCCAACCATGTTGGAGAGAAGGCTGTATTAAAATGAACAAATAACCTGAGGCACTTGGGGTATTTCTTAGAATTGTTGACCAGTATAATGATCTAGCTTCGAGAGTAAGTGGCCGTGTGACCTTGGTGGTTCCAGAACCTGGTTAAGAAGGACCATCGAGTGACAGAAAGGTTGTAATTCAGCCCGACGCATCAGCAGTAAGACGCGACTGTGATGCACGCGATTACCAGCAGCGCTGATGATGTCATTTCCCCTTTGCTCCTGTGCCGGCTGTCTGGACCCTAACTCTCTGCATTTAAGCTCTTAAGAACACGGTACTTGTTCATAAATAGTTAACAAACAGTGGAACAGAGTAAATTTATTACACTCTCTCCCCCATCACTGTCATGCCATGTTTTTGAGTGTTGGATGTACAGAGGGATCTTTAGAAGCTCAGAGAGTTGGATCTGAAGAATGCACTGGATGCCAATAATGATGCCCCACTACACGCCAAGACATCAGGAAAGGTCACCAGAGTTTAGATTAAGCGCCATGTTTTCCTGTACCTGAAAGTCAGTAGATCAGGGGTCTCCAACTCCTGGTATTTACCTGGGAACAGGTGTGGCTCATCAGAAGCCAGGGAGAATAGAAATCCTACTGGACAGTAGCTCTCCTGGACCAGAGTTGGAGACCCCTGGAGTAGATGTTAGGTGAGGTGCGATGTGAGATTGCCATGGACCTCGGCACACAACGGGAAGGTATGACGAGGGAAGGTGTCACATCCACGACTAGCTGAATCTGTGTTCCGCACTCTGTGACCTCATTTAAAACCATTACGTGTGTCACGAGATGCACTGAATCACTGGGATGTGGAGTGCAGGCTTTAATCAGCACTGGTTACAGCGATTTATGCAGACAGGACAGGACAGGACAGATGTCTCCCGGCAGAAGCGTGCCAGCAGTCCAGCTTGGGGGGCTCTTTGCACGGGATCACGTCAGAACCCCCTGAATGCCAGGTTGTGGATGTTTTCCGCTTTTCCTCAGCCAGCTTGTGACACATGGAGGCAGGTGGGCTGCTGGTGTTTAGCGCCAGTGTGCCAGCATGCCAACGTGCCACCTCCAGCAGTGGCGTGTGGGGTCCGCACGCTGCGCCACGCAGTGCGTTTGGCACCGCTTCAGTCCTGCCTTGAAATTGGCTGGCTACTCCCACGGGACATTTCCCATAACAGGGGGAAAATTAATAGCCTTGGCTGCAGCCCCACCCCCAAGATTCGATAATCAATATAACCTTAGGTTAGATCTTCCCAATCAAACATCGCCTGTTGCTCAGCTTGCTCAGCATCTCGCTCCCGGGTACATATCGGATTTTCGGGAGTTCCTGTAATTCTGCCCGAACAATTAATGAATCAGGAGATGAGTCTTGGCGAGGAGCTTAACACGCTCTCGGATGACACGGGCAACTCGGCCCCGCCCCCTCCGATACAGCCAGGGCCGCAATGAGCGCCTGGATATCTTTAAACAGAAAGGCAGCCGTCAGGAGGGGGCAGGGACAGGCATTAAATGTGTGGATTATTATGGCACCTTGAAGCGAGGTATATTTATTTATGTGTAAGCGGCCAGCGAGGTCGGCATGCGTGTAGGACGGCCCCCGCCTCGGATCTGCACCCGCCTGCGGTCATCTGCTGGCAGAAACCTGGCTTCAGCTTGCGGGATGCTGTGCAGGACCTTGTAATCAGCCGCTCCTCAGTAGAGCGTCGCCGTACGGTGCCTTCAGAAGCTGGCTGATACCCCTGCAGCAGCTATAAAAAAAAGGCAGCTGTTGTGTGGCACTCTTATCAGAGATGTTCTACGCTTGTGCTCACACAGAGGGCCAGGAGGTGAAGGTGGGGGAGTATAACGCCATCGAGGACGTGCTGGACCTCATCAACAACACCATCAGGTTTCAAGGTAGGGGGGCCCAGCCGTGGCTGGCTGCAGGGGTGGGGACTCTACAGCTGCCAGGGCCAATCGGATGTGTGACATTCAGCTCTCTCTTCTCCGTTCCCGTTTTAACTGCCCAAGGACTTTTCAACCCATGATTGCACATCTAGACATCTTATGTGATTCTATTTCTACGGTCTAGCAGAGCTCTGACTTGCATATAGAACACACACACATATTTGTGGCATGCATAAAGGCTAATTAGCATCTCTAAATTGCCCATACTGCGTGTGTGTGCCCTCCGATGGACTGGTACCCCATCCAGGGACAGGTTCCAGGACTCCTATGACCCCGACTGGAATATGTGGGTAGACAGTGGCTGGATGTATGGAAACCAGACATCCTCCACTGCTAAAACCATCAATAAGATAAATCAATAGAAATCAATTCACTTAACAAAATATACAAAATTAAGAGTTTAAAATCATGATAAAAACACACAGATAGGAGCCAGTTATGTGTTGCACTCGTTTTGCATGGAAATCCATTCACTTGGTTTCATCACATATTAACATAACCGAAAATATTTCAAAACTAAATTTAGCCCTTTGCATTGCAGATATTAAATATAAATCTGCACAGGCGTACAGAAAGTTTAGGAATTAGGATCAAAGCTAAGTCATCCAGGGGGCAACATCACCGCATTCTGACGATAGCTGGAGCTAAATATACCCACACACGTCAATGTGCAAACGCAGCCTTAACGAAGGCTACCATACCGCGGAAAAGCCCGGACTCAGCAGCCGGGGCGGTGGAGCCTTGGAGAAAGAGGTCACGTTACGCCCCGACCCATGGTCGCAGCCTACCAGGGACTCACCTGCGTGTCCCCATATAGACACACTTTACGTGTCCCCATACACACGCATACACATGACGTGATTGCCCATTGGTCTCCGCAGGGGTGGAGCCTCCCAAAGACCGGACGTTCGTCCGTCTCCAGCGGCGACACATCAACGTGCCGCTGTATAGCATCCTGTCCACCATCACCATCTTGGGCATGCTCATGGCCGGCGCCTTCCTCTTTTTCAACATCAAGAACCGTAACCACAGGTAAAGGGACACGCTTGGTCCGGGCATGCTAGCGTGACACGCTAACTGGGGATGTAGCCCGGTAGGGTGCCCCGGTCAGCTGGAAGAGGGCCTCTCACCAGGGCTCCAATGGACAGGGCATGTGTGGCTCTGCGGGTTAGAACAATAAGCCCATGATTGGTAGGTCACTGGTTCAAATTCCAGCGTTGGCTGATTTAGCCATCGGGCCCTTGAGTGAGGCCCTTAACCCTATTTGCTCCAGGGACTGTCTGACCCTGTTGCCTGATCTGTACTTGTACATCACTTTGGACAAAAATCATCTGTAATAAATAAATAACTGCAATGTAATATATTTGCCTGGGGCTGTTTACTATATCTCTCCGAACGAGGCTATTTTTTTTGCCTCACTGCGCCTGTCCTTCGACGAAGGTATAAAGTCACGCGTCGTGTCCATTTCTCAGCCTCCAGAACCCCCCGAATCAAGCCTGATTCACACCCTGACTCAGTTCCCAGCCTTCCGCGACGCACATGCCTGTGTTTATCGTTGCTCGTTTGTGTTTCCTCTGGCTGTGGAATGTGGATCACACTCCTGCAAGCCCCCATTAGCCCCAAACGTGAGCCCCGGCCCCCCGTGTACTCGGGCCCAGCCCGAAAGGCGTGGTCTGTGTTCCAGGGCATCTCATACCAGACTAGAGTACTGGTACAGCTAATGCGGAGCTACCCACCACTATAATGCAGACGCTGATCCATTACAGACACAGTACTGGGACACCCTGTCTAGCTGGGGGGTATGGAGATCTGGCCCCATTGCTATAAATGTCCCCCTGAGGCTGCCCCCGCTGTGGAAATAATAACAAAAAAAACTGGTCTCTCAGAGCTCGCCTCCAGAATATCGGAATTATCATACGGCCCAGTCCGTTGGCGAGGCTATTCACGGGATCCCAGCAGAGTGGTAGAATCGGGTCAGTCCGGCGCTCCACCTCTTAATCATAACGCCGCCAAGGTTCATTATGTTCGCGGGGATTTCAGATCAATGGCGTCGCCCATAAGCCCGCCGTGTCGCTGTCGCCCCTCCTCCAGGCTAATCAAGATGTCCAGCCCGTATATGAACAACCTGATTATCCTCGGAGGAATGCTGTCCTACGCCTCGATATTCCTCTTCGGCCTTGACGGCTCCTTCGTCTCGGACAAAGAATTCGAAACCCTCTGCACGGTGAGTCCTTGCGATGAGGATGAACAAGCCAATGGGAAGACTGGCTCTTCACACTTCACTGTGTCAATTAAGGTTTTAAATCGCATTTCATACATATTCGCCTGTATTGTATATCTTAAACAATTATCCAGGTAACACATTCATCCATTATCTTTAGGCGGCGGTGCGCAAACACAGGCGTTAAAGCGACGAGAAGCTTATCTAGCTGACTACTTGGGCCAAATACACCGGCGAACACTTTCCGATAAAACATTTTAATGTGACAGGCCTTTTAATTAAGGGGCATTGATTATCATTAATTGGCCCAAGGATGGTGCAGATTACAAGGAATTCAAATGAAATCAACTATCCTGCAGCAGCATAAAGGTTACTCCTGTTTGGGCATGCCGTTTCCATGGTGATGCGGCCCATCACAACACAGCGTGGCATTTTTTGACAGTGAGCTGCCAGGATTCACCCGAGAAACCGTTAGCAGACAGGGGTCTGGGGCTACAGATGGGTCTCACGCTTTGTGAATCTATGAATCTGCTCAAAAAAACTGGGGGTGGGGGGGAGGGATCTCGCTGTCTCTATGAGCATGAGGAGTCTGACTCTGTAAAGGTGTAAAGGAGTCCGCAGTCTGGGAAGCACTGAGCCAAGTCTGGACCTATGCACATGTTAATTCGGGCTGTAGCCCTGGGCCCCGAGTCGTAGGGGCCCGAATTTTTTGGTTGTTACAGCACGTTTCATGTTGTAGGGAGGACCCCAAAACTTTAACCTTGGGCCCCACATCCCCCAAATTTGGCCCTGCTGTAATCCATTACCATAAGATCGTAGATTAAGGTTGGTAGGTCCTCACACATCGAGGAGATGTCTTTGCTGTTACTTCTATAGTCTCCCACTGCCATGAGGACACCTGACACCTGAAAGCAGTACTAAGTGGCTGTCACTCGCCCTGGAGTGAGACATGACATCTTTTGGGCTACAGGTTTCCCTGAAAGGTGCCTCGCTTCATGGTGTACGTGTCATCTGTGTGGAAGGATGCGAACCCCAGTGGTTTATCCTTTTTATTGTCTGGGAGGACGTCGCGGTATGCGAGAGCTCAGGCTTTTCTCTAGCGTCATGACACAGGCGAACAGCAGGAGGCGCACTTTAGCATTCCGGACACACCTGATGCTGTCTGTCCCCAGCGAGCTCACAAGTCCGTCTAAGAAAAGTAAATGTTAGCTGCCTCGCTCATTGGTCGGGGCCAAAACTCCTCCCTGCTCACACTGCACCAATGATAGATAGCGGTCTATGTTATTATAGCGGTCTATGTTGTTATAAGTGAACTCAAGACATGCTGGCAGCGTAATGTACAGATGGGTTTGGAACGTCAGAATAACTCTAAGAGCATTTATTAAAGCACTTTATTTTGAGACAAACAGGACACATACCCTATGTCCGGCAGTGACGACGTCTCTGTTGCGGTGCAGGTCCGCACCTGGATTCTCATAGTGGGGTACACCACAGCGTTTGGAGCCATGTTTGCGAAGACATGGAGAGTGCACGCCATCTTTAAGAATGTGAAGATGAAGAAGAAGGTAAGGCCGGCTCAGTCCACCTTTCAGTCTCCTTGCTGCGGGTCACAGCTTCTCCGTAATGCTGGACACATCCTGCACCGTCTATCCATCTGCTTGAAAAAACATTCGGGGCACATATTCAGTTAGTCTTTTGATTAAAATGCCACGGTTACTGCCTTCCGTGAACCCGGCATACCATCGGGGCCTTGTGGCAGGAAACTAGCTTGTCCTCGCTATGATGGTGACATTAGCTGTGATGGTGACATTAGCTATGATGGTGACATTAGCGTGCAATTTCTGCTCATTTCAGACTCGCCTCTTTCTAGGAAATAAAGCATTATGAAACTGCCCTGTAATTGGCAGCAATATTCATTCGCTTTTGATACCAGTGGCTGTTGTCTCGGCGGACGAGGGGCTCTCAGCGGCGTGGTGCTTTTTTATCCGGCTTTTATGAACATTTCGGTACAGATGATGCCTCCGCGTTGCCAATTTTGCATGTCTTCCCAGTATGGAAACCAACGGGAGATAAAGCGCAGTGAGTGAATCATCTGACCACCGACAGGCCCACTTTCCTCAGGGTGCTGAGAGGTCTCCTCCCCTCCATCAGCCTATGGGATTATGTGAGAACATAACCAATGAGAGAGACACATACTGTACTGAGAGGTCCCCTCCAGTCTATGGGATTATGTGAGAATATAACCAATGAGAGAGACACATACTGAGAGGTCCCCTCCA